GGCTCATAGTGACACCTCTAGCTATAATCAATTACTATTTCATTCTGTTGTCAACTTTCTCAAGTTCTCTGTTTATTAAATAAGCACTAAAGTCTTTCTTTACTTTGTTTTTTCCATTATTTACATGTTTGGTGCCTGATTTGTTTTAAAAGGTAAATGTTAAATTTAGTGTTTTAGAATGAATATGATCAGTTCAAGTCTACATCTGGTGTAAACTAATTTCATATTCTGCAACAGCAAGCTGGACTCACCAGCGCTGTACATACATTCATTTAAATCCTTTAGGCATTGAGATTTACAACCAGAGCCCAATGTGCTTATACTCAGAGAAATCACGTAAATATGAAGGGTATTGGCAGAAACGTGAGATGCCACGATTAGTACATTTCATGGTCACACACTGTTGCTGTACGGTTTTCATGCATCATTTAGTGAGGCTTGTTTGAGGTTCGTTTGGGAGTACACACATCATACGTTCTGGCTGGAATGGGTAGGATAGAAATATGGAATCTCCAATGAGGAGTCCAAATCGTGTCTTGTTCAATGCACCCGCTATCAGTACAATTGCAGTGATCTTCATAGTGATAGGATTTCTATTTATTTCTATTTACACTGCTCGAAAAAATAAAGGGAACACTTAAACAACACAATGTAACTCTAAGTCAGTCACACTTCTGTGAAATCAAACTGTCCACTTGGAAAGCAACACTGAGTGACAATCAATTTCACATGCTGTTGTGCAAATGGGATAGACAACAGGTGGAAATTATAGGCAATTAGTTAGACACCTCCAATAAAGGAGTGGTGCTGCAGGTGGTGACCACAGACCATTTCTCAGTTCCAATGCTTCCTGGTGGATGTTTTGGTCACTTTTGAATTCTGGCGGTGTTTTCACTCTAGTTGTAGCATGAGACGGCGTCTACAACCCACACAAGTGGCTCAGGAAGTGCAGCTCATCCAGGATGGCACATCAATGCGAGCTGTGGCATGAAGGTTTGCTGTGTCTGTCAGAGTAGTGTCCAGAGCATGGAGGCGCTACCAGGAGACAGGCCAG